AATCTGTGTCATTCGCTCATACAGATCTGTGAATGATTGAACAGCAAGTCCAGTCTGCCATCCTGCTGATCCGGGGCTGCAGAGTAAAAAAAAATAATAAATGCACATTTTTATACCTGCAATATCATGTGAATTTATTATTTTTTTAACACAAGGTGAGCTTATGCTTTAATTATGGTAACTAATGGATGTTTTATAAAAAATATTTTTTTTTCATGCTTTATACTGCCACAGGGGCGCTTCTTCACTGAAACGGCTGTGAACACAGAAAGGTTGCCAAAATGTATCAGGCACTAGGAAAGTTTGCTGCTGGGCTGGTCACCTGGGTTTGTTAATAATGGTGATCACCTGATCTCTCACAACTCAAGTGGTAACAGATCAATCAGGCATGGTCTCAGCTGGACTGTGTGTAGCAGTCTGCAGGAGATCAAAGTGATCCTTAAATACTGCTGCAGCTGAAATATACAAGGATTTACACAAATTATCAATGCAGCCGAAATAAAATCTACAACATCATCACAAACTAACATAACTTACAGTCAGTAATATGTGTCGCTTGTGCTGATGCCTTGTCTGTTAGGTGAAATGCTCCTCCGTACATGCCCTACACCAGATCTGTGAGGGCTGTCACAGGCTTTCATCAAAAATGCCTGACTATGCCTGCCTCCACCACTCTTGGAAGCCGTACTACAGCTTCTATGAGTGTAAAAAGATCTATGAACGTAGTGTGCCAACCTTTCAGAAGATCCTATTGTTTTTAAAGAAGCTTTAGCATGGGAGGAGTTAGGTGGAAAGGGTGAGCATAGTCGGGCACTCTTGATGAGAACTTGTGACTGCTCCCAGGGTTCTGTCAATAGATTATGGCAGTGGAGGTTAGGGGGGGGGGGATTTCACCAAACAGAAGAGGCATCAGCACAAGGGACAAATATTACAGACTGTAACTTATGTCTCCTGTGCTAATTGTTATGTTTTTTTTTTTGGCTGAAATTAGGCTTTAATGCCTTTTTGGCACAGGGACATTTGTTGAGAGAGTTGTGGATGGTTGTGAAAAGGATATGCTAGTTTTGATTATATATTCTAGCATCCACATGAGATTCTGTTTTGCAAACTCTAAACTGGACATGTGTATGTAAGGAGCTGAATATACACATATTGTCAAAAGTATTAGGACACCTGCCATTTGTTACAAGTACATGAACTTTAATGGCATCCCAGTCTTAGTCCGTAGGATTCAATATTGAGTTGGCCCCCCATTTGCAGCTATAACAGCTTCAACTCTTCTGGGAAGGCTGTCCACAAGGTTCTCACAATAAAATTTGTATTGAACAAATTTTGAAATGATAAAATTAAGAAAAGAATTATGCATTTAGAAAAGAAAATGGATGTGACCATCCAGAAATTAGGAATAAAACATCAAGTAGAAAAATACCCCCAAATATATTAGAAAAATATTTCAAAAAATAAAATAAGGTGATAATAATAAAGCAAGTACACTCACATACACTATATTGTCAAAATTATTGGGACGCCTGCCTTTACACGCACATGAACTTTAATGGCATCGCAGTCTTCGTTCGTAGAGTTCAATATTGAGTTGGCCCACCCTTTGCAGCTATAACAGCTTCAACTCTTTTGGGAAGACTATCCACAAGGTTTAGGAGTGTGTCTATGGGAATGGTTGACCATTCTTCCAGAACTGCATTTGTGAGGTCAGGTAATGATGTCGGATGACCCTGGCTCGCAGTCTCTGCTTTAATTCATCCCAAAGGTGTTCTATCGGGTTGAGGTCAGGACTCTGTGCAGGCCAGTCAAGTTCCTCCACCCCAAACTTGCTTATACAGGTCTTTATGGACCTTGCTTTGTTCACAGTCATGTTAGAACAGGACAGGGTCATCCCCACACTGTTCTCACACAAAGTTGGGAACATGAAATTGTACAAAATGTCTTGGTATGTTGATGCCTTAAAAGTTCCCTTCAATGGAACGAAGGGGCCAAGCCCAACCCCTGAAAATCAACTCCACACCATAATCCTCCCTCCACCAAACTTTACACTTGGCACAATGCAGTACCGTTTTCCTGGCAATCGCCAAACCCAGATATGTCCAATTGGATTGCCAGACAGAGAAGTGTGATTCATCACTCCAGAGAACACTGTTTTATTGTTCTAGTCCAGTGGCAGCATGTTTTACGCCACTACATCCGATGCTTTGCATTGTGCTTGGTGATGTAGGGCTTGGATGCAGATGCTTGGCCATGGAAACCTATTCCATGAAGCTCTCTATGCACTGTTGTGCTAATCTGAAGGCCACACAAAAGTTTAGAGGTCTTTAGCTATTGACTCTACAGACAGTTGGCGACTTAAGCGCTAACCCTGCTCTTTCTTTTTACGTGGCCTACCACTTCATGGCTGAGTTTTTCTGTCGTTCCCAGTTACTTCCACTGTGTTATAATACCACTCACAGTTGACCGTGGAATATTTAGCAATAAGGAAATTTCATGGATGGACTTATTGCACAGGTGGCAACCTATCGGGTACCACGCTTGAATTCACTGAGCTCCTGAGAGTGACCTATTCTTTCACAAATGTTTGTAGAAGCAGTCTGCATGCCTAGGTGCTTGATTTTATACATCTGTGGCCATGGAGGTGATTGGAACATTTGAATACAATGATTTGGAGGGGTGTCCCAATATGTTTGACACTAAAGTGTATGTTTGGTGCACAACTTTTCAGCCAGGAATTTGTACCATAGAACACTTTTGTTCAAAGCCTTATTTTATCTGTAGCACCCTCCTAGAATAGATTGCTAGTGAGATTTAAGTAAAGTAGTTTTTTTTTTAGCTCCCCTGTAGTGGATTGGTGTGTGATTATTTTTGTCTGAGCATTAAATCTTAAAAAGACATTTCCTGCCTAGTTATTGATTTGTTAGATTGTCCAGGCTGCTGTGTGCCTGGCTTCCTTTACACCCACTTGGGAAGAGAACCTGGGACAGATCTAAAGGGCCCATCAGGGGTCTGTGCTACATATCTAAAAAAAAAAATACTACATATCTACATATGTGAGCAAATAATTAGAAATTCACATTACCAGGGTATTTACAAGAAAAGTCTTAAATGAAAATTGTAAAATAAATAAAAAGCAAGTACAATACAACTCAAAACAAGCAGTGTTATAATTTGCCCAAGTCCTTGTAATTGTTGCTTTCAGGCTAGGTTCACATCTGTGCAGGTGGTGCCGCTGCAGATCCGCATGAAAATCCATGCAGCCCCACCACCCGCACAGAGAAATGCGGACCCGTGGGCGGTGCCATTAGTTCTAATGGCACACCGCCCGCACTGGAAAGCGCAACCGTATTGGGAACCGAGGTTCCCGTGCGGGCTGCGTTTTTTGGAAGAAGTGCAGGTACTTCTTCTCTGCGTGTCACAGGGCACAGGAGTCCATTTGAATTAATTAATGGGCTCTCATGCCTGGGAAAACATGGCCCTCACAGCTGCATATATGTGAACTGGGGCTAAGTGGACAGCTTTGTCTTCATATAAACTTACTTGAAAAATATAAATTAAGCAGAGTATAACAAAATATTTAGGAAGGACACCTCGCAGGGTCTGATAAAAAAAGTAGCATGCAAAACAGGCCACCCACTGAAAACATGTGGGTTGTGTCCAAGAATTTGGGTGTCATTTTACTGCATAGGGTTTATGTTGTGGCTCCTTTTACCCTTTGCTTTGCAATTTTAGACAAAATTAAAGCCTGGAAGTACACCAAAAAGAAAAAAAAACGGAGTAAAATGCCCTCTATTCTTGGTGACAGTAGGAGTAAAATAAATCCCATCAATAGTGTCAGGGAGAATAATGCAGGCCATACAAGGGTCGAATTCTGAACAAATTTTTTTTAGAAAATTTGAAATTTCATGAGTTTTTTTATCCAATGGTGCCACCATTGATTTTGAAATTCAACCAACCAAGTCTTCAGTTTCCCCTCATGTTGCTACAGAAAAGAATTTTCATTGCCAATCTTCATAGAATTTTCATTGCCAAGAATCTTCTTTTGTTCCAGGTCACAGCCCATGAGCATTTCTTTTTCGTTTATATTTCTCGCACGATTCTCCCATCATTGATTAGAACTTTGTTAGTTTTTCAAAAACTGTCCAATATGCCCGATCACCCAAATTCAATAGTCACACGAAAATCTGCCGTTTCTGTGGCCCACTAATAGTGCGAAAATTCAAACAAAAATTCTTAGAAAAGATTTTTGGAAGAAAATTTTTTCTGAAATCAACCCATGTATGGCTGGCTTAACATAAGACCCATAATTGGTGTCAGTGGGAATAAGTACGGTAAGTCCCATCATTGATGTCAGTGTTTAATAATTGCTACATGCACACCTGCTCTGCTATTATGTGTAACACTTTCACTACTCACTTCCTTTGCTGGGGTCTGCATTGGATTATGCCATCAGTCAGAGACAAGCAAAGGAAGTGAGAGCAGTGTAAGCGCTCCTCTGCACCTGCTCTTTGTTTACAGTACTGTACATGTGAAAGCAAGGATTGGTTGAGCGTTCTGTCATTGTGGGTCCATGCAGAAGGGAGTTCTGAAAGGGGCACGGCTTAAGTAAATGGGTAAATATCTCTACTGCCCCTCAGTACTTGGCACGGTGCCCCCAGCCAGGACTTGTGCCGAAGGTGCCGATACTGAGTACTAGTAAATACCAGATGAAAACAATTGTTACTTACCCTCTCTTTAGTGATCTCAAAACATTGCTCTTTTGGTGCCAATAAATGTGTTCTTTCTTTTTGTGTCAACATGGTGTGTTGGTGATATCTTGGATTGGAACTTATGTTTCACCACTGCCTTTTCAGCACAGCACCCTTTTATAATTGGGTCAGATTGCTGTATGGAGTGCAGTGGATTTTTTTGTATTTATTGTTCCATTCATTTTTGGTGTGGCTGCAGAAAAAAACGTTCTCACTCTAACATCCATTCCAGGGGCGGACTGACAACTCATGGGGCCCCCGGGCAATAGGGGATCATAGGGCCCCAGTGTCCTTGCCCAAACTCAAAAAAGCCTATGTAAAAGGTACCAGGGGCATCTCATGGGGCTCCCTACTAACCCCGGGCCCTCGGACAGTGCCCGAGTTTCCAAATGGTCAGTCCGCCCCTGTTCCGTTCAATGGGGAGAGGGGCGTGGTGGGGGAGGCTTGGCTGAGTGACATAGCTTTGTCTTTGGATTAATAGCTGTCAGAGGCAGTAAGTTTAGAGCTGTGCAGAGTGCTCAGCCTTCTGGATCTTGCAGGACAGCCCAGGTAAACAGGCAATACAGAATCCCTGGACTGTCCTGCTGAATGCGGTACGCTTCACAACTATGAAATACTATAATTACAAGTGTTAACCTCAAACTGAATACAGCAAACTCATACTGTACATAGATTATATATATATATATATATATATATATATATATATATGTGTGTGTGTGTGTGTGACTGTGATTTTCTCAAAGTAAACATCAGTTTTTTTTTTGAGTGAACATTTCTCAAACAAATGCTGTCGGAAATTTGCACAAGCTATCCTCTAGTCTAAATCTAGGTTCACACTAGTCCGCTCTGTGTTCTGGTTGTGGTAATCGCATCATTTCCATACCTGCAACCACTCGCAGCTGAATCACACTGCTCTTACGAGACCTGCAGGGCTGCCATTCATTGTGAATGACACATCCACGCATATCAGCCTGCAGTGCGATCACAAGTGCGGGAACTACAGGAAAGCAGCATGTTCAAAAAGACAGTGTGGTTTCCCTGCGGATGCATGTGCTGCAAAGGTGCATGCACCTTTTTCTTGCGTGAAACACGGGCACAGCAGCTCATTCATGGCCACACAAACGGGGGATACACGGCTCATACTAGTGTGAAACATGCGCTACTAGTGTATGTTGGGCAAATGTAAAGAAGTAAGTTGGCAGTTAGCTGCTCCCGCTGTTTTACAGGAATTTTGATCAAAGGCTGTATTTAGGCACTCAAGGTCAACAATAGTTTGACCTTTCAACATATTTGACCTATGGCAAGTATGATACTATGCCATCTAGAGTTTGAGTTAGGAAATGTTTGCTCATAAAGGATACACCTATGTGGGAATGTCGACCCAAAGCTTCCAAAGGTCAACAGCATAATCTGTTAGGGGCGATCTATAACAATAGAGAAGAACCTCACAGGACCAAAGAAAGAACTTTATCTGGGGGATGGTGCCAATTTCCTGCAATCACTTGTATAGTATGCCTGGAGCCCAGGTTGCTTATGGAGACTGTGAAGCCACTATAAACTTGAGCGAATTTTGGTGTATCCCTCCCTATTGTACACAGACCATTGTTCATTCTCATTTGCTAGGAAGGTTTGGTAGCATATGGATGTGCAGTATAAATACTGTAACTGTAATAATTTATTTTTTCCTACAATTGTAAGTAATTTGTACATACAGCATTTTTGTTTAGTAAAGCACAGTAATACACTACACAGTTTTTTTATGCTTCCTTTCTTTTACCGCAAAGTGACCTTAAAAGATAAAACAGAGCAGGGGCTGATGTGACAGGTTATATGAAGAACAATATAATTAAATAAACTTGTTACTTTTTATGTGATACCAATAAGCTTTTTTTTTCTGTATTGATGCCGGGATGGCTGTGAAACACACTAAATTAATTTTATAGATATGTCTATAGGGGCTATAACTTGCATAGTTAAAAACAGAAAGTAGTCAATGCAGACCTTGTTCAGCATGTGATTAAGCACAATCAGCGCTCAAGTCCACAGTGAATAATCCATAGAGTTCATGAAGCAGGTGGATGGATGGATGGAAAGGTGGATGAGAAAAAATATCTGTCCGGCAGCTCCTAGCCAGTGGACCTGGGTAATCCCTCATGAGTATACAAAGGAAACAGAGCAGGGCGCCAGATTAGTGTATGGTGAAAAGCAACATTTTAATGCCATTTCTCACTTGTATACTGCACCAGGGGCCAGAGTGGTGGTGTGATATACAGCTCACCGCAATCTGGGTGGACTGATAGGGCTGCAGGGTATAAGCAGGGACCAGCTGCAAGATGGTAAGTCGGCGGTGTCTCTCCTCTCACTAACAGGAAGGCAGACTGGAGAACATGACAGGTTGGGGGGGGGGGGGGGGGGGTGTACTGCAACGTGTTTCCAAGGTCCTGCCTCCTTTTTCAAGCCCCTTTGAAGAAGGAGGCAGGACCTCAGAAACACGTTGTGGTCTGCCCCTTCCCCCCACAGCCTGTCCGGTTCTCCAGTCTGCCTTCCTGTTAGTGAGAGGAGAGACACCGCTGACTTACCATATTGCAGCGGGTCCCTTCTTGTACCCTGCAGCCCTATCAGTCCATCCAGATTGTGATGAGCTGTATAATCACACCACCACTCTGACACCTGGAGCAGCCTACAGGTCTTTCAGATGTAAGTGAGAAATGGCATTAAAGCATTGCTTTTCACCATACACTAATCTGGCGCCCTGCTCTGTTTCCTTTGTATGTCAATCAAGACCTGACTGCACGTTTTTTGAAAATGTATAAACAAGAATGTAGAGTCAAGAGTGTAAATGAACCTAAGGTGGCCGATTTACTAAAAGAGTTAAGAATCTTCACTCAATTGTGTGAATATTCACTTTAGTTATCCAATCTTGCGCAAAATAATTTCTGGTTTACTTTGAATACCCAATTATGTGCAGATGAAATAAAAAAGAACAGGCATTTTGCCTGATTGGATGCCTTATATGAATATTAACTCAATTGAGTAGAGAGTCTCAATTAGGAAAGTTGCAATTTAGGTTTAAAGGAAATTCTGAGCCTTCCTTTGCTAACTTCTCTTTTTAAAGATACATGTTTCCTGGCTGTCATTTTGCACTTTATATAAGCCACTGAATACAGACAGACAGGTAACTAACATTTGCAGGAGGCAATAGCACATCATCATGTATCTCTAAGTAGCTTTCCGTTAAGGGTAATATATTTTATTTCTTTATTGCAGAATACATTAGTCATAAACATAGTTGCCAACATTTAAAAAAAAAAAAAAAAAACTTCCAGGGGCTTTTTTGCTATGGAAAAGCTAGCCATTGCAGGTGGAGAATGTACTTCAATTAGAGGTGGGAAAATTATTTAATATGGGTGTGGCTCTACAAGATGTATATCATTAACCTAATGGCATACTTTAATTACCATATATGAGAGATCTGTAGGTGTCATGGTTTAAGGGAAACAAAAACACTGGCTGTAACAGTAAACACATACAGTACATTGATCCCAAAGTTTAAAAAAAAGGGCTGCTGACATTAACTACATAAACAATCATTCTGCACTGTAAAGAATTAGTGGACAGACATGAAACACATAAAAATAAATTTTTTTCCCATGCAGGAGAGGAGTGTGGAGGATATGATGGTGGGCAATATGTTCAGGAGAAGAGTGTGGAGGGTATGACAGTGGGCAGTATGTGCAGAAGAAGAGTGTGGGGGGTATGATGCTGAGCAATATGTGCTGGAGTGGTGTGCAGGGGGTATGATGGTGAGCAGTGTGTGGAGGGTATAATGGTGGGCACTGTGTGCAGAAAAGTGTAGAGGATATGACAGCAGGCAGTATGTACAGGAGAGGAGTGCGGTGGATGTGACAGTGAACAGAAGGTGAAAGAGGAGTGGGGAGGGTATGGCAATGAGCAGTATGTATAGGAGAGTAGTGTGGAAGGTATGAAAGTGAGCAGTATCACAGGAGAGGAGTGTGGAGGGTGTTATAGAGATTAGTATAGACAGGAGAGGAGTGTGGAGGGTATGACAGTGAGCAGTATGTACAGGAGAGGTTTGCGGAAAGTATGATGGCGAGCAGTATAGATAGGAGATGAGTGTGGAGGGCAGTATGTGAAGGGGAGGAGTGTGAGAAAGTATGTAGAGGAGAAGATTGCAGAGGTTATGACAGGGAACAATATGTACAGGAGAGGAGTGTGGAGGATATGACAGTGAGCAGAATGTGCAGGGGAGGAGTGTGGAGGATATGACAGTGAGCAGAATGTGCAGGAGAGGAGTGTGGAGGATATGACAGTGAGCAAAATGTGCAGGAGTGGAGTGTGGAGGATATGACAGTGAGCAGAATGTGCAGGAGAGGAGTGTGGAGGATATGACAGTGAGAGGAGGAGAATGTGCAGGAATGAGGAGTGTGGAGGATATGACAGTGAGCAGAATGTGCAGGAGAGGAGTGTGGAGGATATGACAGTGAGAGCAGAATGTGCAGAAGTGTGCAGTGAGAGAATGTGCAGTGTGGAGGATATGACAGTGAGCAGAATGTGCAGGAGAGGAGTGTGTGCAGGAGGATATGACAGTGAGCAGAATGTGCAGGAGAGGAGTGTGTGAGGATATGACAGTGAGCAGAATGTGCAGGAGAGGAGTGTGGAGGATATGACAGTGAGCAGAATGTGCAGGAGAGAGAGTGTGGAGGATATGACAGTGAGCAGAATGTGTAGGAGAGGAGTGTGGAGGGTTTGAAGGGGAGCAGTGTGTGCAGGAGGGGAGTGTGGAGGTTATGAAAGCAAGCAGTATATGTTGGAAAGGAGTGTAGGGGATATGATGTTGGACAGTAAGTGCAGGAGAACCGTGAAGGGGGCAGAGAAATGGTTAAATAGTGAAGAGTATAATCGAAATGTTACTGTGCACCTCTAGATAAACAATAAAGCTCAAAGAAAACAGCCTTCTGTTAATGATACTGTACATATAAGCATCCCCTAGGTGCTCAGTGTATGTCCAAATAATGTGAAGATTAATTTATGACCATTCCATTTAATCCTGTGTTAATCCAAACTCTGTACAATCAAAAGTGTAAACTCACCACTTTAAAGCAAATCTTCACTCTTTCAATCAACATTGACCTTTTTAATCCGTATGCTGCTAGCATTAGTAAATTGATATGCAAGTACATCATAATAACTTGTTTTAAACTTTTTTGTTTTAATTTCTTCAGTTACCTCTTGGTTTCCAAGCCTAGGGAAGTGATGCCATTTATTCCAGTAGTCTTCAGGAGGGGAGGAGCTAAGCAACCCCTCTTGCCTGTATGCCTAAGCTAAGGGCAGATGGATTCAAAGGCGTAAATACTATATGAATCATCTGCCCTTACTCAAGATGGCCACATCTAGAAATGCTAGGCGGTGTTTTTTAAAACTGATTTCTCAGTAAAATAAAGCATGAAAACATGGCTCGGTGGATGACTTTGCTTTGAATATTAACAATTAATAAAATAGCATTGTTGGTTTGTGGTGCTCAGATGCAGTGTAGTTCCGCTTTAAACCAAACAGTCTAACTGTGAGTAGATATGAAATAATAGCTCTCGATAAACATAAATTAGTCTCTAACTGATCAGTATTCCTTCCTAGAGTTGTGCTACCATGCAAATAGCAGTGAACACCATGCTCCACTCTATTTGAGGTTTGTTATTTGGTATCTACTCACTATTAGAGTGTTTAGATCATGTGGTAAGCTGACACGTTTGTCTGTACAGAATTTGGATTAACACAAAGTTAACTTCAATAGTCATAAATTAAGCTTCATATTATCTGGGTTTACTGGGCAGAAGCACACATCACAACTGACTGCAGATTCAGCCGACTACCCCACACACTCACCCCCTCTTCTGAGTCTAACCCTCCTTGTCATCTTAACCTCCTCTCCTGTGCCTGCAAAGACATCCCTCCTGACATGATACCATTTTACCTCCCCACATCAACTCAGCTCAGCTCATGTCCCTCCCTGCAGGATCTCCGTGGCTGGGCAATGTACTTTAATCCTGCCTCCACGTAGTGTTTGGCAGTAGTTTATGCTCTGCTTCTGGGTTCTTTCACCGACAGCATTGGAGATGGGGTGAGGATCTGAATGAAAGAATGAAGATTAGATGCCTAAGAGGGCACAGAATGAGAGTGCCAGATACTGCTAGGGAAGATAGAAAGGAGAATCCAGACCTTGAAAGCAATGAGACTGCTGCTGTCCCCACAGCCCTGATCCCAGGACTGATCTGTAAAGGGACAGTTTACCCAAAAGCATGACTGTCCTGGCCAGGGGCGGACTGACAACTCATGGGGCCCCTAGGCAATAGGGGATCATGGGGCCCCTGTGTCCTTGCCCAAACTCAAAAAAAAGCCTATGAAAAATGTACCAGGGGCATCTCATGGGGCCCCCTACTGACCCCAGGCCATCGGGCAGTGCCCGAGTTTCCAAATGGTCAGTCCGCCCCTGGTCCTGGCAAATCTGGGAGAGTTGGCTTGTATGCATAAATAAAATATCCAAAAAAAGGTTTATACACTGGGTAATGGTGGATTATTAATTGCTTCAATATAACTTTATTTATCAAACTTTAAAATGCTTGCTTTTTCCTTAGAAAGTTCCCCTGCAGAATCAATCAACATGAATGGAATTGACAATGGGATTAACAGTGTATGTGCAATTTGTGGAGACCGAGCTACAGGAAAGCATTATGGAGCCTCCAGCTGCGATGGATGTAAGGGGTTCTTTAGACGTAGCATCAGGAAAAGTCATGTTTACTCCTGCAGGTATTTTACTTCTTTACTCACAATATTATCAGCCAAACATGAGCCATGTTCGAAGCATTGCACAGTAAGCTAAACCAATTCATAAATGTTTACTCAAAAGTACCAAATAAAATGCATTTGTAAACTGCTACTGCCATCCAGGAAACATTTCCCTAAACACATTTAGAGTGTATTTTTAGGCAAAACATTTTCCTTTTTTTTTCTCACAGTAAGATTGTTATTGAACAAATTTTGCAATTACAAGATTAAGCAAAGAATTATGCATTTAGAAAAGAAAATGGATGTGGCTGTCCAGAAATTAGGAATAAAACATCAAGTAGAAAAATACCAGCAAATGTATTAGAAAAATATTTCACAAAATAAAATAATAAGGTGATAATAAAGCAAGTAAGTACACTTACATATCTCATGACCTGTCCATTAAATGGTCTTAATGTAGTAATAATAAGGGTCGGTATATGGTTTGACAGTATTCAAGAAAGTATAGAGTTAAAATTAACTTTTTCTTTAGTTTACTTAGTTTAGGTTTGGAGTTTGCATGCGTTCCCTTGGGTGGATTTCCTCCAACATTCCAAAAACACGATTGTAGGGTAATTGACTCCTGTCTAAATTGGCCCTAGTATGTTTATGTATGAATGTGAGGGATTCTTAGCTACTTGAGGGCAGGAACTGATGTGAATGTTTAATATATAGGCAAAATGCTGCATAAATTGTAGGCACTGTGTAAATACAGTACCTGTAATAAATAATATAAGAACTAGTCAAAGGTCAGATTTTATAAAAATCGGAATCACTGCCCTTGAAATTTTATAGCAACACAGTATTATTTACCAGGGGAAGTGTCCCCTCAATGTCAGGCTATCAGGCTTAACTTCTGCCTCAAAAAAGGAAAAAAACAACCAGCAACGCTGAAGGTGAATAGGGATTTTAAGTTTATGAGTCTGTACAAACTGTCTCAGGTAATGCCTCTGTTCTGTATCACCAAACCCAAGAAGAAACTGACCACGAGGATCTCTGTACCATATCGGCCTTGTTGCCCACTTCAAATTGGGGGAATCCTAAAAATAGACTGAAACAACCACAAAAAGAGAGTATCAGCCTAGTGCATTATCTTGAGACCATTTTATTGTAAAGGAATAAAAACCAATATACTCAATTAAGTGAACAAACTGCATGAGCATGAAAGCAATCCAGTCTTGATATTAGAACAATGCCCATCCACATAGATGTAGCTTATGCGTTTCAAGGACAGTGTAACCAACACACCATGGTGGGGAATTCCTCTTCCTGCATTTTGTGACAGATACATTTTGTAACCAGATACTGTTGTTTGTGAAACTATTTTATTCCTTGTGAAACTGTTATTGTGCTGCTGCACATCTAAATTAATTTGTATGTTAAGTTAAATTTGTGTGTGCAAATTTTGCTCTTTGGAGAATCAAAGATTAATTTGGTGGGGTATTATTATTATAATACAGAATTTATATAGTGCCAACAATTTGCTTAGAGCTTTACAATATAAAGGGAGACAATACAGCAACCATACAGTCCAATACAAGAGGGTTAGGAGGGCAATGCTCCTGGGAGCTTACAATCAAATAGGCAGGAGCTGGTAGAACAAAAGGTAATAATTGTGGGGGATGAACTGATGGAAGAAATATAAGATTCGGTTATTAGCTGAAGGCAGGATAGGCGTCCCTGAAGCAAGTGCTAAATCTTTGCTGCTGACACCTTTCTGCTGAGTGTTTTTTCCTTTCTTCTCCAATGCTGATTGACAGGTAGGGACAGAGGAAGACTTGGAGGAAACTGATTGGCTGTCACCACAGCTGAAGAGGACCTGTCCCTGGCAACCTTCAGGCAGGAGGGCTTCTTGTTGGTTAGTGGAGCCAGGATGGTATCTAATTGACTTGTGGGTGTTTGACAAGGAATGCAGGGACCTGCGTGTGGTACAATTGAGTTTCTGGGGACCAACATAGAGAGCAGGCAGCTGGACGTGAGATTTAAAGTGAGTCCAGGTACTTGAGCTGCCAGAGCAGCATCTGGAAGTTGACTCTGCCCAGGATAGATCACATTGATTAGAGTCTGGGGAGATGGCTCAGGATTCTGTAGCCTGTGGCAGGAAGCCTTTGTGTGAAAGGGTTCAGGACTTAGAGCTCTGATTGTTTTCTGAAAGGAGTCCAGGGCCATGTGCTGCAGTGCAGGGCCATGTTGTGCACAGGAGAGATGCTGTATGTACTGTTTTTAGATCATTTAATGCTGCTGAGAGACTAAATGGCTGTTGTGTTGCATCTAGAAGACTGTACTACTGTTCCAGAGTGTTCCAGCTGTCAAGCATGCTATTCTGGTGAAAGGCTGCTGATGTTTCCTGATCTTCATATAGAGGACCACTAGTTACTGCTGCTTAATGCCAGCTGAAGAAAGACTATCTTTCACTTGCCATCACCGGACTGCCAGGCTGCCAGGAGCCTCGATACCAGTTAGAGGCCTTCTTAGTCACTGACTTTTCCTGTTGATTCTTAAATAGGTGTTGGACTGCCCCTTCCCTGGGATTACAAATTCTCCCACTGGGCCCCAACAATGATGGGACTGCACTTATTATAACTTCAAACTGTGGTTTTCTCATATTGCTATCTTTATATCATCTGATACCTAAATACCCTGCTTCTTTTCCAGTGCTTTACTGCAATAAATAAAGCCTATTCTAAAAAGCCCCAGGTATGCCAGTGTCACTCAGTCGAGGTAAGGGTGAGTAATTACAGGCACAGGATAAAGCACAGGGCAGCTCACCCCCTTTGGGGATGGCGTTACACCTATTTCCAAAACGATTTGTGAGTAAATTATCCTACAAAAAGAAAAGATGGCCGTGTGCACATGCAGTGATTGGTAGGCATGACCAAGAGTGATCTTGTATCTAATGAGACCTTCTCCACCACATACATTTAAGAATTATGCTGTCATGTAAATATACTCACAATAGAATTTCTCTGGCTCTCTTTATTTTATGAATATGGGCTAATGGTGTGCTGAAACCAGTGCTGATATTCCTTATCTCTCCTGACACTTCCTTGGAACTCTGTATTCCATAGTGATGACTTCCTAACACTGAATTCACTCATATTCCTGACAGAAGCCAGGAAAGCCTCACATCATCTGCAAAGACTTTATTTGTGCATCATGCAAATCTTATCTGACCGCTTAAGTCTGAAGGGTCAGATGACAAATTGGCCTTATCAGAGGGGTATCACCAGCCACGTATTTGCCTAATACTTCATATATCTTGAATCCAGAATATAGATTTGCTCATATCTAGTAAGAGCTGAACTGGCCAGCAAATGTTCTGGTGGATTTACAGTCTTGATGCATACTGAGCTACAAACATTGGGGTTCAGGGGTACATTTAATTACCAATGAGCTAGATCCCCTAAGCAGACTCTAGAGTGCAATTGAATTGCTAATGAATAAAAATGCTTCAGCACCACTTTCCAGGTGCAGGCTGTGGAGTCACTGCATGTACAACCACTATTCTTTTGGTTACTGATGGAGACATAATTGAAAATGTAGGAAAATATAGGCATAGATAGGTAGAAGGGAAATGTTGGCATAAACTGCTGAAGGTCAGAAGCTGTTAGATTCAGGTAAGTATGCACCTGGTGCAAGGGAGGGTGAGATACTTTTGATCAGAGGTGTTAGGCAAGGTAAGTATACATTATATGAAGAATATGTAAGCAGATTCTATAAAAATATTACCCAGTTTGAATAGTTGCACAATGTATAATTTGGCTTAAGTGTAGATACCAAATATATCTTCTTGTAGAACTCCTAAAATAATGACCCATCTTTTATTTTTCTCTATGTTCCAGGTTTAGCAGACAGTGCGTGTTGACAAAGACAAACGGAATCAATGTAGATATTGTCGTCTAAGAAAGTGTTTTAGAGCTGGAATGAAAAAAGAAGGTAATTTGTGTTGCTTATAGCACAAATTAAGGTTATAATTGGAGATGAGCGAATCGAACCTGGCAAAGTGGAATTCGTTTCGAATATTAGGAAAAATTCGATTCGTGCAGAATCCGAATATTAGCAAACTTCGGATGCACGAATCGAATTTTCCCCGATCGGCCAATTTTCATCCCTTCTACAGCCGGCAAAAAGTGTCCCTGCAGAGAGCTCCGCTATTTCTGACAGTTCTCTGACAGTTCCTTCACATTTACAGCAGTTGAAACATTGTATCTATTTGTTTCCATTTAGGATACAGATGTTTTTATTCGGAAACAAATAGATACAATGTTTCAACCGCTGTAAATGTGAAGGAACTGTCAGAGAACTGTCAGAAATAGTGGAGCTCTCTGCAGATACACTTTTTGCTGGAATGGAATTCTTTCTTCATCCTCATCATACTTCTTCTTCTTCTTCTTCTTCATCCTCATCCTACTTCTTCTTCTTCTTCATCATCCTCATCCTTCTTCTTCTTCTTCCTCTTCTTCTTCTTCATCTCATCCTACTTCTTCTTCTTCTTCTTCATCCTCATCCTACTTCTTCTTCTTCATCATCCTCATCCTCTCCTTCTTCTTCTTCTTCATCCTCATCCTTCTTCTTCTTCTTCTTCTTCATCCTCATCCTACTTCTTCTTCTTCTTCTTCATCATCCTCATCCTACTTCTTCTTCTTCTTCTTCTTCTTCATCCTCATCCTACTACTACTTCTTCTTCTTCTTCTTCTTCTTCTTCTTCATCCTCATCCTACTACTTCTTCTTCTTCTTCTTCTTCATCCTCATCCTACTTCTTCTTCTTCTTCTTCCTCATCTTCTTCTTCTTCATCCTCATCCTACTACTTCTTCTTCATCCTCATTCTTCTTCTTCTTCTTCATCCTCATCCTACTTCTTCTTCTTCTTCTTCATCCTCATCCTACTTCTTCTTCTTCTTCTTCTTCATCCTCATCCTACTTCTTCTTCTTCTTCTTCATCCTCATCCTACTTCTTCTTCTTCTTCTTCATCCTCATCCTACTTCTTCTTCTTCTTCATCCTCATCCTACTTCTTCTTCTTCTTCTTCTTCTTCTTCATCCTCATCCTACTACTTCTTCTTCTTCTTCTTCATCCTCATCCTACTTCTTCTTCATCCTCATCCTACTTCTTCTTCTTCTTCTTCTTCTTCTTCATCCTCATCCTACTCTTCTTCTTCTTCTTCTTCATCCTCATCCTACTTCTTCTTCTTCTTCTTCTTCATCCTCCTCATCCTACTTCTTCTTCTTCTTCTTCTTCTTCATCCTCATCCTCATCCTACTACTTCTTCTTCTTCTTCTTCTTCTTCTTCATCCTCATCCTACTTCTTCTTCTTCCTCATCCTAATTCTTCTTCTTCTTCTTCTTCATCCTCATCCTACTTCTTTTCTTCTTCATCCTCATCCTACTTCTTCTTCTTCTTCTTCTTCTTCATCCTCATCCTACTTCTTCTTCTTCTTCTTCTTCCTCATCCTCATCCTCTTCTTCTTCTTCTTCTTCTTCTCCTCATCTTCATCTTCTTCTTCTTCTTCTTCTTCTTCTTCTTCTTCTTCCTCATCCTTCTTCTTCTTCTTCTTCTTCTTCATCATCATCTCATCCTTCTTCTTCTTCTTCTTCTTCATTCTCATCCTACTTCTTCTTCTTCTTCTTCTTCTTCTTCTTCATCCTCATCCTACTTCTTCTTCTTCTTCTCCTTCTTCATCCTCATCCTACTTCTCCTTCTTCTTCTTCTTCTTCATCCTCATCCTACTTCTTCTTCTTCTTCTTCTTCTTCATCCTCATCCTACTACTTCTTCTTCTCCTCATCCTCTTCTTCATCCTCATCCTCATCCTTCTTCTTCTTCTTCATCCTCATCCTACTTCTTCTTCTTCTTCTTCTTCTTCTTCATCCTACTTACTTCTTCTTCTTCTTCTTCTTCTTCATCCTCATCCTACTACTTCTTCTTCTTCTTCTTCATCCTCATCCTACTTCTTCTTTCTTCTTCTTCTTCTTCTTCTTCTTCTTCTTCTTCATCCTACTTCTTCTTCTTCTTCTTCTTGCCATGGGCCCCTGTACCGCCTCCTCATGCTGCTGCCAGGTCCAGAGTGTGTCATGGGTCCCTGTACGGCCTCCCATTGCTGCTGTCTCCATCGCCACACTCTGCCATGTGCCACTTTCAGGTCTCCTCACACTGCTGGTGGGTTCCATTTTGTCATAGGGTGCTGTATGGCCTCCCATTGCTGCTGCCTCCACCGCCACACTGTGGCTCCACACTCTGGTTTTGGCCCCGTGACTGCCCAAATGAGTGAAGTGTGCGGTGATTCTAAGATCGACGGCACTCATCTGCATGTCATACTGACTGACAGTATTATTTCTCTTCCCCAGCAGACTCCAAGGGCATTTAAATTAAAGGTACAGTGTTCTGCACTAATATAAAGGCTCTCTGAAGCCTAGAAACCCTTTTAATAAGTTAAATTCGCAGCGAATAAATTCGCATCGAATCAAATTTATTCCACAAATTCGGCAAATCAGCCGAATCGAATTTTTGAATAATTCGCTCATTTCTAGTTATAATACGTGGGTAACAACTGGGTCATAATAATTACAGCAACAATGACAATAGTGACAAAAATTGTATCCCAGTCCATTTTTCCCTTTTCCAGTTTCAAACCATGCCATAGTTACAGTCTACAAATTTTTTAAAATGCATACTTTTGTTTCTCATATTTTTATAATTTTCTAAACCAATCAGCTGTTCAGAATGAAAGAGACCGAATAAGCACAAGAAAAAGTGGATTTGAAGGAAGCAATATCACATCCATTAATACACTGGCACAAGCAGAAGCTTTGTCTCGTCAGGTACAGAAAATTATATTGTAAATGGAATGTATGTTACGATAATAAGGTCTGATGAGCCCCATACTGAGTGGAGAGAATGATGTTTCACACAGTACACATTGCCACCATCCCTTTTCCAAAATTCACAAGTCTGTGTCAAAATGACCAGATTATGACCATGACGCCTCAAGAAACTTCTAATTAAGGCCTGTCATAAAATTGCCATGTGAAAAGACCTCTAGTGGAGTTCTCAACAGGCTTTAATGTATCTTGGACTTACCTGGTACATGTTCCCCAAGGCAGTTCCCAACCATGCCATTTGTTTGACAATTAGCCCAGAAAATGGCCATTTCTGTTTTTTAGCGTTCAGCTGCCATTGACTATAGTGGGGTTCTGATTTGGCACCTGTACTTTAGTCATGTTCTGCGAACCTCCCTCAATCACTGCCCAGGTACATTTGGCTCATCCCCTATTTAACACTCCTCAGCATACTCCTCCAACTGATTTATCTATGGCCAGCCTTAATGAATTGATAAGTGGTTCTTTGGACTCCTTTTTGTTGGTGAACTAATACGGCAAAATGGACATTCCTTTACCTGCTTATCTTTATATTTGATAATGTAGTCCAGCAAAGCCTTTACTGCTTAAAAAATGTAAAACTTTTATTTATTCTATTGCATTGACATGTGATACTATATTAATCTTGGCCAATGTTGCTTGAGGAGGAGCTTGCTTTATTTTGAATATTTGAAATTCTTTATTAAAAAACACAAATTAGGTAAATAATTTCTTTCACCACAGAAATAAAAAGAAACAATTCACTCTTTGATTTTAAATATTTTTTTTTTGCCTATATAGGTCTACCTTGTTAAAGTTTAATAAGCTTTCCTTTGCTGACCTTCAAGGTCATTGAAAATAAAAACACCTTGGAACTGTCATAAAAGTTTCATGTGACTTTTGTGAAGTTAATCTGCATTTTGTTTGCTGGTATTGCACTAGAGGTAAACATAGTAGCAGTCTATACCTTAATGATAAATGTATATCATATACTAACTATTATTATTATTATTTCTATCATTACTATGTTATTTGAAGGCAGTTGGGGAGGAACATTTATTTCTATGCACACTAAGTTAAGAAGTTAAGTCTCATTTTCAAAGTATTCTTCTCTATTCCTTGTTACAAATAATACAAGCTACGCCTAGTTACAAATAAAAAATCTATGCCTTTTTACAAATAATATTAAAAAAAAATCTGTGTGTGTGTGTATGTATGTGTATGTATATATATATATATATATATATGTGTGTGTGTATATACCGTATATGTGTGTGTATGTGTATGTGTGTATATATGTGTATATAGGTGAAACTCCAAAAATTAGAATATCGTGCAAAAGTTCATTTATTTCAGTAATGCAACTTAAAAGGTGAAAATAATATATGAGATAGACTCATTACATGCAAAGCAAGGTAGTTCAAGCTGTGATTTGTCATAATTTGTGATGATTATGGCTTACAGCTCATGAAAACCCCAAATCCACAATCTCAGAAAATTAGAATATTACATGTAATCAATTAAACAAGGATTGTACATAGAACAATAACACAGGTCTGCAATAAATTTTTTTTCAAGAGCTGTTTTTGTTATTCCTACGGGTTATTCCACATAATCTTTATGTTTTTTTGGTGCGCTGAATCCGAAAATGACCTCCATTGTGTCATAGGACATCACATTTCCTGACAATTTAGGAAACTATGTTAAATAAGGCAATAACTCAAAATAAATGGAAATAGACTTATAAAATTAAAGTTTTTACAATTTTTTCATGAAAATCCTTTTTTGAACTGAATGAGCTCACCCACACACACTAAACTTGATTCTTCTTCCCTGTGAGGCTCCTCTTGGTGCATTTACACTTGTGAGTAGCATCTGGAATGTCTCTCTGAAGCATCCAACAGTAGTCTGCCATCATTGTAATGCTCCATTTTCCCTGGTATTTCCTTTCCATCTCTTAAATGTCTTGGTGGAATCGTTCACCTTGTTCCTCACTCACAGCTCCCCACACATTTTCAGGAAAATAGTCATGGTGGGACTGGAGGTATTTGCACTTTCAAACTCATCAGGCAACCTAAAGCTTGAAATGCTTTCAGCATTCGTCCGACAATCTTTTTGTAGTGAGGATCTTTGTTATTGCCTAAAAATTTCTGTACGACTTCTTTAAATGCAATCCAGCCTTCTTTTTGAGGATCCGTCATGGTATTGACAAACTCTTGATCAACTATAAGCCTTCAAATGTCTGGTCCGATGAACACACCTTCCTTCAATTTTGCCTCCGAGAGGCCTGGAAACTTGGTGACCAAGTATTTGAAGCATTCTCCATCTCTTGGAAGTGATTTTACGAATTGCTTCATCAATCCCAATTTTATGTGGAGAGGTGGTAGAAGAACTTTATGGGAAGGTACCAAAGTTTCTCGGAGGACATTTTTTTCACCCTTGGCTGCCAACTCTTCTTGGTCCAGTGATTTTGCCAGTCTCGACTGTCCCCACCCCCCCCGTCCCATAGACACAGAAAACAAGGGTATTTGGTATCCCACCCACTGGATTCTTCAGGAAAGATTAACCCCTTCTACCATTAGAAGCACAGACTCAGGGCTGAGGCTTACACATACAGCATGCTGCTGAGTATCCCAGTAGTCAGACATGTCACTCAGAGCAGCACTTGTATTCACCCCCTTTGCAGGTGGGGAGGGGCAGAGATTGTTTACCTGCAAATAACAACAAAGGGCCAGAAGAGAACTAGGAAATGAAATAGAATTTTTTTCCCCTAAAACTTGCTTAGCTTATGTATATATTGCTGACCATCAGATTTACAGTGCTATATTTTTTTTTTACATAACTCGGACAACCCCTTTTAGGTTTTTTTTGTGGTGAGAGTGAGTCTGCGTGACTATAGACTTTGAGATAGTCTGTGTGAACGTCATGTGTCTGAGCAGTGGTAGGCTGTATCCAGATGAGTAGTTAGGATCCTGTGTTTGCAGTTAGATGCCCAACGTGGCAAGGCTTTATTTTCTGTTTTTGTTTTACTTTTGCTGTTTTGGATATCTGCACATAATTACAGACCTTGTAAATAAAGCAAAACTTGTCTCACCAAGTTCCTGCTGTTGTGCCATGCCTTTTTCACCGTGCTCTAACTTATCCAGGAGGGTCAAGCACAACCCGCTACTGCGCTAATTTCCCATTTGGCCCTAGTATGTATGTAAGCTCCTTGAAGGCAGAGACTGATCTTAATGTCTATGTAAAGTGCTGCGTAAATTGTCAACACTATATAAATGTCTGTAGCAATAAAATTAGAACAGTAATAAAACTGGGAAACATCTTTAGAAACTGGAGACGCCAGGGTCACCCTATTATATAAAGAGCAATGCAATTAAAAGGAATGAAGGATACTAAAATAAAAAAAAGTTGGTCAGTGGTGAACTGTCACAGTCATGCACCTGGTCACACTTCCAATTATGAAGCTCTTTTTGAGGTGATAATCAAGAGAACTCATTATGAGTTATTGCAGGCTTCATTTTTATGACTAGGCTGCAAAAATGTAGGCTACTTTATGGAGCAACCTAGCAGATTTATAGCAGAGAGTGGATAGCAATATTCACTCTCCATTATAAAATGACCCCGTTAAGGCTTCTGTCCCCATCCAGGGGTAAATGTAGGTACCAGGGGCGGGACTGACCATTTGGAAACTCAGGCACTGCCCAGGGTCAGTAGGGAGAGCCCCATGAGATGCCCCTGGTACCTTTTTTTCATAGGCTTTTTTGAGTTTGGGCAAAGACATAGGGGCCCAATGATCCCCTATTGCCCGGGGGCCACATGAGTTGTCAGTCCGCCCCTGGTAGGTACTTAAACAAATGTTAGCAGTTTTACTATTTACATTTAATTAGAGTCTGGAGGGCATATCACAGCAGGTAGGAGAGCTGGGAACTTTTGGTTTTCAAAGCATTAATTAACCTGAGGAGATAGAGAGTGTTCATTTACCAACAATAATGTCCCCACTTTATTGGGAAAAAGATGAAGCTGTCTTCATGAATTTAATACACAATCATGAAAATTTTAAACTAGCAAAGACAAAATGTTTGATTTAACCTGATTGAACAATTAAGGCTAGGTAAACCATCAAATTGCAAAATGAATATGACATCTTAGTAAATCAAAAACCATTAATAAGTTTTACTTTCTGACCTGACTGTTGGCCCGAATGTCCTTCATAAAACCCTTATGGTTGAACATTCAAGTGTTTGTGGTATGTCAATGAATATTATTCTGCCCAAGGGGCGGACTGACAACTCATGGGGCCCTCCGGGCAATAGGGGATCATGGGGCCCCTGTGTGTCCTTGTATGAACTCAAAAAAAGCCTATGGAAAAGGAGCATCTCATGGGGCCCCCACTGACCCAGAGCCCTTGGGCAGTGCTCGAGTTTCCAAATGGTCAGTTCGCCCCTGTTTCCAGTTTCTGCCTAATCACTTAGGAGAAGGAAGCTACTAAGTGTGTTCAGTGTGTCCGCCAGCCCTTTTTTTATTATCTCAGTTTAATTGGCACAGTTACCCATACAGAGGTCAAAGATAGGGTCGACATTTGTCTTAAAGCTAAGACAGGCAGGGGCTCTTTAGTGGATACTCATGGAACAATCTGTGACTGCATTTTAGTAGTTGTAAATGTGTTGGGTTTGCGGTACTTGTAGATTCAGATATGCTTTTTGAACCCAATAAAGCTGTGGCCTTGCCCTTTGCAACACATAAAGTAGTTTGGTGTAATTTTTTTTTCAGGCAATGTCATCATAGTAGGTTACATAATGGATCACGTTATGCCTAATGCTTCTCAGCAGTGCATAGCTGCTTCAATCGGAGTCCACTTACACAAGTGTTTTACTGTGTAAAAGATTTTCTCTAATCCCAATCAATAATGTTTTCAATCGTACATCAAGTGTAGATTTGAAATACTTCTGCATATCTTTGTAAATGCAGTTGGGACCATTTATGCTCCACAGGCAGGGTCTCTGTTATGGATACATTATCTATCTATCTATCTATCTATCTATCTATCTATCTATCTATCTATTATCTATCTATCATAATAATAATATTATTATTATTCATATGTGTTCATTAGTGTGTATCCGGAAATGTATACAATAAAAGTTACCATTAGCTTTCACACACGCTCTGTAGTAATACTGTGAAGTGGGAGCAGGCTCCATCTATTTGCATGTTGAAAGAGAATCCATAAAGCCAGCAGCGTTTTCAATTATTTGCATGATTGCTTCTGTGGTTTTTGTTTAAAAAAACAGGGTAAGGCGCAGGTAATTCTTTTATGAGAACTGTGTTTTTAATATAGTCTATTCATTTTCTTTCTGTTTTTAAACATTGTTAGATCACTGCCCCAAGTACTGGTACAAGTACTGACATAAATACAAAGAAAATTGCCAGTGTTACTGATATTTGTGAATCCATGAAGCAGCAACTGCTGGTCTTGGTGGAGTGGGCAAAATACATTCCTGCTTTCTGTGAGCTTCCTCTGGATGACCAGGTAAGAAATGTGTAAATAAATAAGATTAGGCTTCACTGAATCAACAAGACATTCAAAGTTAACAATGCAATTCAAATAAGAAAAAAAAATTCCTTACACTGTAATTCCTTTATACTTTATTATAGACATTTTGGAAATGTAAAATGAAAGAACATTAAGCAGTTATCTATTAAACATTTGTTCAAAATATTTTTAAATCTCATTTTGCTATCCTTTTTAGTATTAAAGCGGTATTAAACCCAAAGTCAACCATTTATTATACTACAGTTTACCAACTTTTATATGTGGTGACTGCATAAGTTTTCTTTTTTTTCCCTTTTATTGCACTTCCCTTACTGCCTGGTGATCTAGGCAGTAAGTCTATTATTTTTCAACAGAACAAGCTGTCCTGCAGATGTAGTAGTAGCAGGGTTGAGACAAACCATTTACCACTGAGAGGGGTGCTTGCAAAGATCAGCTTTTATTTATTAAAAACCTTTATCCCAAAAGAAAAAAAAAGCTGTTGCTGTAACTGATGAAAAAAGTGATAGCTGGAATGTAAATTGGATGTAAATCTGCTAGTGCATCTAACATTCGACAATCTCCCAGACAGACAATACTATTTTCCACAGGTGTTTTTGCTGCTCCTTCACCCAGAGTGGGAGGGGGGGCACTCAATGACAGTAAGGGTATTGCTGGCCAGATCACCAGGTGAATACAGAGGGGAGAAAAAAAGGAAACTAATGCAGCTACCACCATCTAAGGATTAGTAGGCTGAAATACATTAAATTTTTTGGTTTTGGGTTTAATACCGCTCTATGAAAAGCATATATTTTAAGTATAGGGAAACATTGTGGTTAATTTGAAGCAAGAAAGACTGTTCACTTAATTAAAAAGAATGTTTAGTTAGCTTAGCGAATGAAGAAAGCTTGGGCAAAATCGTTGTCAGTAATGGGGGAAAGATCAGCTACAGACAGACCATAATTAATATTAGTGATTAGCTGTTTGCCCTCTATCTGCCTTTTTTTGAGCTAAGAGTTCAATTCCTCTTTAATTGAACATTCTCTTACGGGGAATGTGTGAGCATTTTGCTATTAAAAATGTATTTAAAAGAAAGTTAAACATACTTTTTCAGTCAGATAAATCTGAAACACAGCATATACGTATATTTAATTTCCATATCCAGTCAGATAGAGATCTAGTCTCCTTTCCATGTGCTTCCTGGACTAGTCTTGTCTGCATTGTCAAAACAGCTTTCTTACAGAGTTCAATGTCACATGATCAAATTTACAAATTCAACTGAATGAGTCAAAAAATTACCCATCACGTCTCTCCTCCTTCCTCCACTTTGTACAGATGGATTCATAGAAAGTTAATCACAAAGAGAGCCTGAAGGCAAACAGCTTCTGATGTTACTTTTTTAAACGCTTAATCGCCGCCATATAGCAGATATGCTGCTACACTGCGGCACAGGTGTGCAAAATCACGTATATATACATGATTTTGCATTTCTGGGTAGGGGGTGTGCGCCCTGCCCGCGACGCCATTCACAGCCACGGATGTCAATCACCGGGTCCGAGCCAGTGATTATCCCCGGCACCCGGTGATTACCGACAATCACCGACGGGGAGGAAGATTGTTTTTTTTTACAAACAGTCTTCCTACCTGTCAGCTCGGACACACTGCGCAGGATGGCATAGCACAGCACAGCCATCCCGAGCAGTGTACTTACAGTGAAGCACACACCTCCCGCCCCCTAGTAAAACCCTCCCTACACACAGTTAACCCTTTGATTGCCCCTCACATTAACCCCTTCCTGCCCAGTATCATTAGTACAGTATCAGTGCTTTTTTTTTTTCAGCTCTGATCACTGTATTGGTGTTACTAGAGATGTCAGTGACACCAAATCAGTTCCCCCCAGTGTCAGAATGCCCGCCGCAGTCCTGATATAAGTCGCTGATTGCCACTATCACTTGTTTAGCAAAAACATGTAGCAAAATACATTTTGGCCTAAATTTATGATGAAATTTGATTTTTTTAATTTTTTTACTGGACATATTTAATAGCAAAAAGTCCCCCCCCCCCCCCATGTCAGAATGCCTGCTGAAGTCCCACTAAAAGTCACTGATCGCCGCCATTACTAGTAGGGAAAAAAAAAAATCTCAGTATCTATACCGCCATTTGTAAACACTATAACTTTCACGTAAAACCAATTAATTTACACATATTGGGATTTTTTTTTAGCAAAGACATGTAGCAGAATACATTTTGGCCTAATTTATGAAGAAATTAGATTTTTTAAATTTTTTTACTGGGCATGTTTAAGAGCAAAAAGTCCAAAGTATTGTTTTTTTCTCAAAATTTTTTTTTTTTTTTGCTTATAGCGCAAAAATTAGAAAATTCTCAGGCGATCAAATACCACCAAAAGAAAGCTCAATTCATGGGGAAAAAAGGACATACATTTTATCTGGATGCGGTGTTGCATGACCGCGCAATTGTCAGTTGTAGTAAGGCAGCACCGTAATGCAAACAATGTCCAGGTCAGGAAGGGGGGTAAATCCTCTGGAGGGAAAGTGGTTAACCAGGGCACAAACTAGTGCACAACAAAATGAAGGAGGCTATAGAATTACAGAAATCCTTTATGGTTTTAACTTCATTACAGGTATTTATAAACTAATGGCAGTTTCATACAGTGCATCACTTAGTACATTGAGCCATTAATATCAAACTCTGCTTCTAACGGTGTTTACAGTCTAATGTTCCTACCATAGTTTTAAACAGGGATACTGGAACTAAGTTGGCTAGAAACAATTAACGAGTCTGTATGGTTCTGGGGAGGGAAAAATAAAACATAAAAGCTCCATGTAGGTAATGTCTTTGGTTGAAATCCCATCCAAGACCTTAGTACTGCTGGGCATTTGCTCTAAACATGTGATGCCACATGAGATGTTTAAAAGAGGAACTCCAGCCTTTTCACTAACCCTCCATATTCTCCCTCCCCCCATTCCTGAATAATCAACAGCTTTGCAAAAAGAATATATTAATTATAATAAATTGTGGTCCTGTCATCTTCTGCACTGCCAGTTCCAGTTGTTACGAAAGGCCCACCAAAGCCTTTCGTTTTGCCAATCTCTTACTGATATTGTTTCTATCCTTCACATTGATATCATCATGTATGCATAATCAGTGCTGGACCAGCATCCACATCATCAGGATGGCTACCCAACAAAAATCCGGATGGCTGCACACTAGACTGAAGATCCATAATATCCGTTATTAATCACCACATATAAAAGTAACACAGATGTATAGCCAGGGGAGGGAAGAAGTTAATGTGTTTCACACTGTGGCAGTGCTTTGTCAAAATCACCATCACATTGATGCCATTATGTATGCATGATCAGTGCTGGACCAGCATCCATATCATCAGGATGGGATGTAGGCATTGTTAGGTTCCTGCCCACATTCAATCCCTGATGAGTGGAAGACATATTCTGGATGTGACAAGACCACAGGTTAAAGGGTTAGTTCACTATTGTCATTGAAAACCTAACCTTGGTAGCTATTAAGCCTAACATAGATGCTTCTCATTATATTCTGTATATACTCCTTTATAAAAAAAAAAAAATGCGTGTTCTGAAATCCTGCATTTTCTGACTCTTTAAAAAAACATCATCTGCAGAGCTTCTTTTTCTGCTTCCTTTTTCCCACACCATCTGTGACTTTAGCTTAGTGCCTTAAAAAAAAAAACCTGAGATGTCCCAAAATTCAATAAATGCTCTGTATGCCTGTAGAGGAGGGATGGGAAAGAGTGGTGGGGGCTTGGGAATGGCTTCTCACTTTGTCAGGAAAATAGGAGGCAATGATTCAGAGATCAGGGAGGCAGGTTAAAACTGCATAGTGCGCAGATGCAGGAGGAGAGGGGATAGACAAATGTTGCATGATGGTAAACATTACATCCCTGTTTTCAAAAGAGAAAAATGCCATCCATCCTAATGTCTGCCAGGATGGAGCCAAACACAAGGATAACATCTTTTGAATAAGTTTTACTTAAGAAGTGGAACATTTTTTAAATCAGGACACAGAAGAAGTCACGATTTGACTAAAGGTAGAAAATATGTAAAGCATAAAGGTTTTAACTTAATTGGGTTTTTACTTAACTTCATTGTTTAATTTAAAGGATGAATAACCCTTTAAGGTAAGTATTATTTTGCACTTAAAATGTTACTTTTAAAAAAAACAACGTTGCAGATTACTAAATATCTTTGTGGAGGAGGAAACATTTTTTTTTAATCACGTGGTAAGAGTTTCACTTTCAATAAAATATTTTATTGCTATTACACATTTTCTGACACTGCCTGGTTTGATTTGATTGTTATTAGCGGGTCCTTTATTGTAGTAAATGTTTCCACATTAAATTATTATCCTTCAAAGAAAAGGGGTTCAGATTGGGTAAAACCTAGTTTGCACAAAGTACGACTGAGGAAGTGCATAGAGTTATCTTTTTTAACAGATTAAAGGAACTAATCCAATTAAATAAATAAATGCCAGTGGTTATTTGACTTGATAGATGTTTATTGATCCTTTTCCCAAAGGTTGCTTTATTGAGGGCTCATGCCGGAGAACATCTTCTTTTAGGAATAACAAAACGTTCCATGGTGTTTAAAGACATTTTACTTTTAGGTAAATGACCATTTTTTGTTGTCTTCTTTCAAATTTGAAAAATGATAATATGGCTGTAAAGATCTCAACAAAATGTCTTTATTTCCCTAAAGGAAACAGCTATGTAATTCACAGGAACTGTAGCGAGATTGAGATAAGTCGTGTTGCCAACAGAATTTTGGATGAACTTGTCCAGCCTTTTCAGGAGATCCAGATAGATGATAACGAATATGCCTGCTTAAAGGCAATTGTATTTTTTGATCCAGGTACTTCTTGTTACATGTTAAAAATTATGAAACGTAGTAGGGTGTTGAGATTTATGAATTTGCTTTTTAAATAAGATACATGGCAAGTAGCAAATCTGGACAAATTCAAACAGACCATGTAGCTTAAAATAATCTGTTCAAAAAAAATATGGGAGATAAAATTGCTGGCTTGTTTAAGCAGGGTATCTACATGCTCCTGGGCTGTTACCTATATCTTTGCTACACTGCTTAGTGAGACCGCAAGCTGGAACAAATGTGTGCATATAACATGCCCTGAATACATATGCATGTTTGTTGCAGGTCAGGGGCTCAAAATGTAGTGAAGACAGCATAAAGATGACAGACCTTGCACCTTTAAAAGCAAGTCCCCAATGGCAGTCTCTATATTCCAATACTGACAAGTTCCTTTTGACTTAGCAGATTCTTTTAAGCAACAGGACTAATTTGGGAGTTTTGTTTTATTACCTGTTTATCAACAGAGCAAAAGCAGGCACTTCTATCACATGTAAAGAAAATGTAAGATTTGAAAATCTCAGTGATACCTCAGCAATTATTCGATTGCTTTAAAAAAGGAATGATCGCTGCAATGAAAGTGGATTTCTTTTGTGTGTTGACCATGTGATATAGAAATATGGTGACATTTATTGCTACAATTGATTTGAGTAAGAGTAAAAAGGTCTCTCCTTGGCTGTCTACAGTAGGTATGGCCAGCATCAAAGTGAGGCTGCCAGTTTAACAAAAATGCAAGCTGCTGACAAGTATAAAGGGAAGGAACATAGAGGCATACCTGCAGCGTCTTTCAGTAATTATGTTTTTTTTTTTTTCTGGCTGCTGGACAGTGCTGATTGAACAATGCCCCACTGAGTAGATTTGGGGCTGGTCTGTTCTTTCTAGCCTCCATACATTCCTCATTTTTATTCATCATTATGATGGGATGCCTCACTGGTCAATAAAATATCTGAGAAGAATGGTATTGGTATTGGAACAGAATGGGTATATATAAATCTATATGTGTGTGTGTGTGTGTATGTATGTATGTATATATATATATATATATATATATATATATATATATATATATATATTATAATTTCTTTTATGATAGAGACACTTAAAGCTTTGCACATATAATAGAATGCATTGAACAATCAGATTGTCACACGTATGTCCATCTTTAGCCAGATAATGAAGGTGCAAATAGTCATGTTCACATAATCTATATTTTTATTTACTTCTAGAGAAATTGAATGAGAAAATTAAATGCATATATTATGTTCTACTTTCTATAGATGCCAAAGGGCTCGGTAATCCAATGAAGATTAAAAATATGCGATATCAAGTACAGATTAGTTTGGAAGATTACATTAACGACAGACAATACGATTCCAGAGGAAGATTTGGAGAACTTCTTTTATTACTGCCTACTCTTCAGAGTATCACTTGGCAAATGATTGAACAAATTCAGTTTGTAAAGTTGTTTGGAATGGTTAAGATTGATAATCTTCTCCAGGAGATGTTATTAGGCGGTAAGGCATTTTACCTAGCATGTGCATAAGAATATTGTGACTTCTGTTGAATGTCAACTTGTAAAATATATCCTGATTTTTATATAAAACCACAAGCAGGAGTCAAGTTATAATTTATAAGATATACGTTTTTACATTTAAGGTTGCCGTTTTAAAATAGTTACTTATTAGTTATAATAATAGTAGTAACTAAAATATAGTAAAACACAAAAATACAAAAAAAAAAATTATGCTTTATTCAATAAGGCATTGTAAAAAGCAGTAGTGATGTGTAAAGCTGGAGTCTAATTGGTGTGGTCAGTGGAAACTTCACTGCCTTTTTCTTCAGGTTTCAGTACCTCATAGAGCTGCAGATGATCTACTGATATCAGCACTTTTCTTTCTGATATTTGATGCATAATCATAACACTTTGGGACAGAAAAGGATGAAAGGACCATAAGAGAAAAACTTGGGGATGTGGGCAGTGTTTACTCACCATGATCAGATACAGATGCAGACCCCTTTATCTCCATTTCCTACACCTTCTTTGGTTCCTGGGCTTGAGTATAAAACCCTTACTTCTCTCTCTCAGAAGCTCAGAGAGGCCACACCTAAAAAGAAAAGGTGTCAGACAAGTGATCTGCAGCCAGGTGAAAAGTCCTCAAATGTCAGAACCAGCATGTGGGCAGCTGGGCAGGAGCCCAATAGCATGTAGCTACTCCAGAAGACTCAGCGACTGTGGGAAGTGCTACTTGACTGCTACCAGAGTTCTCCAGTTCCAGTGGAGTGGCCATTTTTCCTTGGGCATGGATCCATCTGTTTGTATGACTGTATTAACAAACCTACCCTGGATATCATTGAGAGGGATGATGTTTATAAAAATAATTACAAGTAGCTGTTTGTGTTCTGATTTATTATACTGAAGTAGACAAATCTGCTTTGATGAGTCGAACTTTCATAAACAAGCTCTGCGGTAACAATAATCATAATCAAACTGTTTTTCATTATTCTGCAGTGTATGCATGTTTTTGCCACCCTAAGAGAGCTAATTTTCCAAGGCTGAGAGATGATCTCCAAGGCAGACTGGGAGGGAATATTGGCATCAATGAACACAACACAGAAATGGGAGTTCTTCAAAAAGACTGTATGGGAACACACTGAAAAATATATTCCCATGGGCAACAAATTTAAAAGGCTACAAATCAAAATGTGGCTTACGGCCAAAGTTAAAAAAGCTATAGATAATACGAAAAGAGCTTTTATTAATCATAAAAATGAAGGAACACTATAATAATTTAAACATCACATCGAATATAACAGAATATGCAAAAAGGAAATAAAGTCCGCAAAAATTGAAAATGAACGACAGATTGCAAAAGATAGCAGGACCAACCCCCAAAAATTCTTCAAATATATTAATAGTAAAAAGGTCCGGTCCGAGCATGTAGGCCCTTTACAAAATAATCTAGAGTGGGTGACTGGGGACAAAGAGAAGGCAAATTTATTAAATACCTGCTTCAGCTCTGTGTATATAAAGGGGCATGGGGGAGCTCTTGTCCATAATAGGCATGGTATTGACACAGCTCCAGATGATCCACATTGGCTCAAAATTGATATGATCCAAACATATTTAGACAGAATAAAGGTGAATAAAGCACCTGAACCGGATGGCATACACCCATGGGTCCTTAAAGAATTGAACTCTGTCATTTCAAAGCCATTGTTTCTAATTTTTAAGGACTCTTTAATGACTGGCATAGTACCACTGGATTGGCGTAAGGCCAATGTGGTGCCAATATTTAAAAAGGGGTCAAAATCTTTACCAAGTAATTTATAGACCTGTTAGTTTAACTTCTATAGTTTGAAAGATACTGGAGAGTTTAATAAAAGACCACATAGATGAGTTCTGAAAAAAAATATTTTAAGCAACAGACAGCATGGATTCATGAAAGACAGAAGTTGTCAAACAAATCTGATTTCTTTTTATGAGGAGGTGAGCAAAATCTTAGACAGAGGGGTGGCAGTGGACATAGTGTACTTGAATTTTGCAAAAGCGTTTGACACAGTTCCCCACCCACAGCTAATGTGTAAGGTAAAGTCGTTGGGCTTGGAAAAATCTGTATGTAAATGGATAGAAAACTGGATAAAAGATCGTATTCAAAGAGTAGTGGTTAATGATTCATACTCTGAATGGTCTGGGGTTGTCAGTGGTGTACCCCAAGGTTCAGTGTTGGGACCCTTACTTTTTAATATATTTATAAATAATATAGGGTCTGGGATTAAAAATACAATTTCAGTCTTTGCAGATGACACCAAGCTTTGTAGTGGAATAACGTCTTTACAGGATGTCTTCAATTTACAAGCCAATCTCAATGCACTGTTTAATTGGGCAACTATGTGGCAAATGAGCTTTAATGTTGATAAATGTAAGGTTATGCACTTGGGGGGCTAAGAATATGCATGCATCATACATACTAGGGGGAGTACAACTGGGGGAATCAATGATGGAGAAGGATCTGGGGGTTCTGGTAGACTACAAGCTTAATAATGGCATGCAATGCCAAGCTGCGGTTTCTAAAGCGAGCAAAATCCTCTCTTGTATTAAAAGAGGTATAGACTCCAGAGAGAGAGATATCATTTTACCCCGGTACAAATCATTAGTAACACCTCATCTGGAATATGCAGTTCAGTTTTGGGCACAAATTCATAAAAAAAAAAAATTGGGGAACTGGAGAAAGTATAGAGAAGGGCAACCAAACTGATAAGAGGCATGGAGGAGCTCAGCTATGAGGAAAGATTAGAGGAACTGAATTTATTCTCTCTTGAGAAGAGGAGATTAGGGGGCGATATGACCAACATGTATAAATACATCAGTGGTTCATATAGTGAACTCGGTGTAGCGCTATTCACCCTGAGGTCATCACAGAGGACAAGAGGGCACTCTTTACATCTGGAGGAAAAGAAATTTAATCTCCAAACACAGAAAGGTTTCTTCACAGTAAGAGCTGTGAAAAATGTGGAATAGACTCCCTCAAGAGTTGGTTCTGGCCAGTTCCGTGGATTGCTTAAAAAAAGGCCTGGATTGTTTCTTAGATCCACAGAATATAACTGGATACTAAAATTTATAGGTAAAGTTGATCCAGAGAATATCTGATTGCCTCTTGGGGGATCAGGAAGGAATCTTTTTCCCCTGCAGGAGCAAATTGGTTCATGCTTTGCTGGGTTTTTTATGGTTGAACTGGATGGATTTTTGTCTTTTTTTTCAGCCAGACTAGCTATGTAAAAGTTTTTTTCATTGTTTCCAACATTGCACTTGTTTGGTAAACTGCAAGTTGTAGTTGCTCCCCATCTTATCATTTGGCCAAGGAGTACTTAACAGGGCTGTAAGGGAATAATGGGGCAGTAAAAAGGGGCAGCTAAGAAAGTTAGTTATGACATAGGATTAAGGGATGATGTTTTAATCCAAACTTATCCCCCCCATGCACAGAATGCAGTATCCTATAGCAATTGATTGGAATATTTCAATAAGCTGCTACTGGTCACTGAATTTTGCAAAATATTTTTGCTCTGCACGGTATCCTATGGAATAATCCTGCTTGAATATTTTTCTTAAAAAAGCAAGTTTTTTTTTTTTTATACATATGCACCAGACAAGGTAATACAGATTTTCACATTTACTATATACAGTATTAGTTTGCACAAAGTCTTCTGACTCACACTTGGTTTTTTGAATATTCTTAGCTGCAGTAAATATAACTGTGTTATGAAAGTGTATGAAATATTCTTTTTGATGTTCCTCATATCATCTTTAGTTTTGGACAGCAGATAAAAAGATAAATTAAAATACTAATGTGTTTGGCCAAAATTAGCACAGTAATGGAATGATGCTGTTAATATACCCCCATCATTGTGCATTCATGAATTGAAAGCCATATATAGATTGGTTGTAATGTCAGTTACATCAAATCTTTTGGGTTGGGCTTGGCAAGGCCAGAACATATATAGCACATGGTTTTTGCAAACCTGTAAAGTCGTGTAAAATGATTTGCAATTTTCAAATAAATACTAATTTTTCTACAGGTTCAGCAGCAGAGTCTAGTCACATCCACCATCCTGCACATCCTCATATAGTACAAGATCCTCTAGTGGGACAGACTCTTCTAAGTTCCATGTCTTCTACACTACACTCAGAGCAAATTGGTGTGTATATTTTAGAGTATTACGTTGCTTCCAATTTGATACATTTCTCAACTGTTTCAATAAAATTTGAATATTCTCTAAGATCATTACACAAACGTTATACAATATTTACATGTTTTACCGGTAATAGGGGGTTCTTAATTTATGGCAGAATTGCATTCCAGAAATACGTGTCTATTTCAAGTCATGCATAATTTTTTTTTATACATTGAAAATAATAGCAATTGTGATAGCTAGGTTCCATGCAAGTAAGTTAAGAAACTTAGGGGTTTATTTACTAAAGCTGGAGAGTCCAAAATCAGACTCCCTTCTGCAGAGAAACCAATCAGCTTCCAGGTTTCATTGCCAAAGCTTCATTGAACAAGCTGAGGTTAGAAGCTGATTGGTTTCTATGCAGAAGGAGTCTGATTTTGGACTCTCCAGCTTTAGTAAATAAACCCCTTATTGTCTACAAAGACTATTTTTTTCTCTTTGCTTGCATATTCACTTAACCTCTGGAAGGTTTTACTCCTTCATGACCAGGGCATTTTTGGCACTGTGCTACTTAAACTGGCGATTGCGCCATCATGCAGCACTGTATCCAAATGAAATTTATATAGTTTTTTTTTAACACAAATAGAGCCTTCTTATGGTGATATTTGATCACCACTGTTTATTATTATTATTATATAAACAAAAAAAAAGACCAAACATTTTGAAAACAAAAACAATTTTTTTAACTTTCTGCTATAAAACATATGAATGTTTTTTTAAAAAACAAGTTTCTTCATAAATGTATTCTGCTACATGTCTTTGGTAAAAAAAATCTTTATAAAGTGTATATTGATTGGCTTGTGTGGATGTTACAGCATTTACAAACTATGTTATATATACTAGAATTTATATTTACAGTATTTTTATATACTAGTAATGGCAGTGATCAGTGACTTATAGTGGGACTGTGATAGTGCATTGGGCAATCTGACACTAACTAACACTGGGTGGGAACTGACTAACTGACACTGACATTACCAGTGACACTAATATTGTGATCAGGGATAATACTATACACTGTCACTGCACTAATGACACTGGCTGGGAAGGGGTTAGCATCTAGGGGCAATCAAAGGGTTAACTGTGTGTCTAACAATGTGCAATGTGTGCTGCTTTTACTAAGAGATTACTGTTTTTTTTCTCCCTGCTTTACAAATCATTTGATGTATCCACCATACAATCAGTACAGCTATTGTACCTTAATCTGTCTTGATATTAAGCCCCTATAATCCCCTGTGCTCTATTACTTTGCACAGGGCTATAGGTATAACATAGTGAACATGCATGCAGGAGAGTATATCACATGGCTGACGTTGTGGTCCTGCTGCTTTATTGTCCATTCACAAGCAGGGTAGAGTCCTGGATCAGGCCGCATTGTTTAATAAGACCATGTCACATTAGAAAACCTTATGACTCAAACACATACCTGTGGAAAAGAGTGTACATACCTATATTTCCTGCTGACTGTACCACTAAATACTGGCACATTGCAGAGAACATATCCCCTGAAGTCCTCTGAGAAACTGACATCCCCATCGTACCAATCATCTCTCACTCCTGTTGATTTTTAAATCCTTAGAGGATACAGCAGCAATTCAGAGGTCAACAGGAGGAACCAGTGAGTGTTGTTGGGGACTAGACATACACTCCAAGAAGTGTACAGGGGACCAGTTCTCCGCAATATAGCAACATGGTTGGCAAAGATAAGTATGCACATTCTTCTAATGTGTCTCTCAAACAGTAACATAATCTGCTTGGTAGTCCAGGACTTGGCTGCCAGGATCACAAGGCTGAGTAGAATTATGAACTCTTTAGAAGGTAAAGCAGTTTACAGTTATATGCATTTCATCTGTGTATTTATATGTTATAAAGGGTACAACTGTCCAATGTTTAAATTATTTGGCCAGATTTTATGTGTAGCCACATGTCACTTAAAGGATAAGTTCACCTTTTTGGGCAAAAATAATAAATGCACTTTTTTTTCAGGTAAAAAAATGTGAATTTATTATTTTTGTCCAAAGGAGCCTGTAAAGTATTGCAATAGCAATCAGTAGATCACTGATGCCATGCAGACCTCCTGCAGACCTGTCAGAATATCTGCTCACCATACGGGATGTACAGTCAAGGAGATTTACTGATAGGAAGCTTCAATGAACTGCCACAGTGCTCCACAGCTCTGTGGTAGTTCATTGAAAACTACAAGCCCACAGCCTTTTAAGGCTGTCGGGACTTGTAGGCACTCATTCACAGAACACTGAATGAGTGATGTGACCGTGTGGGTGGAGCCTCGCATAGCCACGCTGTTTTCAAATCTGACAGTACGGGGAGGGAGGGCGACAGGCATGGCTGCGGCTATGGGAACATGTTACATGTTCCAATCTAAAATGAGTGGAACATGTTACACGCTCCACCCTAAAAATGAACTTATCCTTTTACAATTCGATGATCTTTCCTGATCATATGAACTTTGAAGAAAAACATGTATGCAGTATATTTTAATGGAACCTGGATTATATAAACTAAAACAATGATTTTTTTGTTCTAACTATAAAACAGTAATTGGTGTGTACATCTCTGTGTTTATTGCAGGTGAATTCTTGCAACTATTATAATTAGGGAGAAGTTATATTGACAGTTTTAGCTTAGTTAAAATTTTAATTTGGACATTTTGGTTAAAGTGAATTAAAGTAAATTTAAAAGCCTTGCTGGGTATTTGTTTTGTTTTGTTTGGAAATTTTCCTGCACTTCATGTCCTGTAAACAAAACAAGAAGCTTAAAGAAAAAATATCTCCAAGGTGACGTAGGTTCCCTCTTAGAGACCATTAGGTGCATTGTCTAATAATACATTTGAAAGTGTACAATGCCTTTAACTTGCTGGCACCAACAGTACGCAGATATGCGGCCTCTTGATGGCTGGGACTTGACGCCAAGTGGCCGCATATTTGCGTACCAAAAGTAAACAAACAGGTGCCAGGAACATGCCCTGCACACTCCTGGCACCTTTACCAGCACCTCACGGAAAGGTCCTCCTTCACTACTTGTGATCGAGACCTTTCTGATCATATGACCGCTGTGACAGCCAATCATGGCGGTTACATGACCCTAAACCCTGCCCTGCCTCCCGGCATCTTAAACCACTTAAATGGCCGGGAGGAGGCGGCGCCAAGGGGTTCAAATGTTGGGTTTTTCTTCACCTTCAGTCCTAGAGACAACATTTAAAAGCCTTTCCCTACGCTATTCAAAACAAAAAGTATTGTATTTAGATATACTCTAAGGCTCCTTTACTTTTTTATTTAAGCATTTCTTGTTAAGTACAGATTTATCAAGTGCACCTGGTAAAAATTACAGTGACAGCTTTGTTGATGTCAGATGCTATGTACACATTGTGCCAGCACTGACATACATACTAAATTACTTTTTTTGTTATTGTTTTTTTTTTTTTTTAATCGGTTCTTGCTTAAGGAGTCCTCGTGGTATTTGAGGCTTTGAGGCCAATTTGGCTCTTCAGTAATTATAAAATTGGTCATTTTACCCCACAAACCAAGTTTGTGTAAATAATTTGCTTATTCGCAATATTAAATTATAAAATAGCTAAGTATGTTTATTTGTAATTTTTGTATTTTAGCCACTCCTGAAACACCTTTGCCTTCTCCTCCTCAAGGGTCAGGACAAGAACAGTATAAGATATCCACAAACCATGCAACTGTCATTACACATCAATCAATCTTGAAGCAGAAACCTTGATATTTTGTACATATTAAAGAAAAGAATGGACACTGCCGGTTTTGCTTTCTCTGCAGCCCTGAGCACACAGCTGCATTTAAGATGGCGTATAACACAGTCAAATGGAAATGGAGGATATTAGAGTCAATATTTGTAACTTGTTAAATTAGATATTTCATATACCTGGTCTTTTATTAATTACATATCGTTTCCAAATGAAATTGTTATATGTTAAAATTAATAAACGAATGCATTTGGCAATATATTATAATATTGCTATTTTACTACTTGTTTATACATACATTCAGGTATATTGTATGCAAAATATAATTTATGCTCTTTTATTATAAATGTTTTACTATGTTTTACTGCAAAACTGTATCCAGTCTCACAGTAGATATGCTAGCCAAATGTCAAAGTAATTTTACTTTTTGGAAAAGATCCAATTAAACTCACAGGGTAGATTTTGCCAAAGTAAATGTTGATATTAATGTGATAAATGTGCTTTCTAACTAATATTTTTATTTAGGTAGATAAAATTACTTTGGAAACACCTTCATGCCAATATATCATACTTCATCCTTATAGAAACAAAATGCAAGTTTATATTTTTATATACATATATAAAGTTAAACCTGTGCCAATGTTTACAGTACATTAGTACAAAAGCAACTGTGATACTTTTTAACTTTCATTTACTTTCATATTTACACAGTAAACTTGTTTATCAAGGATCAACGACACACATTATAATGCAGAAATGCATTAGGGACACAAATACATAGAATACTGAATGTATTTATAATGCTGAAAACCCAGAGAAGATTTACTGCACATGATAATAACTGTCAAAATGTTAAAATAATTATTTTTTATTTAATAAACTAAATTACCAAACATTGTCATTTTTTATTTAGAAAGTATTTAATGTTAGTAATACTAGACAAGTAGATGATATACTGTAAATGTCTTAAAAATTAAAATATGGTACTTACATTTTGGAAAATTTTATCAAATTAGAAGGTATTTCTCTTCACACTGAAGTATGCATTTACCACATATGTAGGGCCCTATAGATTAAATGATTAAGGTATGCAAGAGTTTTTTGGAAAAGAAGGACTGAGTTTCTGCCCTAGCCTTGGAAAATAAATCTACTTAATATTAATTTTAGGTAGATTCTGTGTGAAATAAATATTACTTTTGGGGCAAAATTGCCAGGCACAATGTGGTGGACATTCCTGACTTCCAGAGTGATATATTGGCATGTCATATATTTTCTCCAAGTGGACAACCTTATCTGTGTAATTGAATGAAGGGTGTTAATATGTTATGCTATCTTAGCAATGTTTTTCTTCAAACAGCCCATAAGGTTATAGGAAACTCAAAATGCTTTTTTAATAAGTAAATTATTTTGCGTGCATACTAAAACTATCATATCACTTGTACTGTGGTGGCATTTATTGAAATCCTTTTCCTTGATTTCTGAATGTTATTGACCAAATGAATAGGATAGTTAAAAAAAAAATAATTTCATGGTTGTAAGCCAAAAACATGCATGGATGTAATGATATTGCTGTAAGATCTATCCATTTTTGGGATGTTTTTCCTTTGGGAGTTTTCTGCTTACCTAAATGTATACATAAAAGTAAATATGTTTTAAAAGTATATTAAATATACTGTATACTGACTTATTTAGAAGCATCTATTCCCAAAAATAACTGTTGTACTTTACTGAAATTACACCCAGTAGTAAGAGTATTATTGCTTTAAAAACTCATCACCAAAAAAATGTAAAATGTATACTGGAAGTTCCTTAATTTGTACCTTATTTATTGTTTAAGAAGTTTACATGTAATTACCATATACACTTGACTTTATCTTGATATCAGTCTCCTGAGATTCTCCGCACAATAGTTCTTACAACAGCAAAGGGAGAATCAAAACATACGCCAATCAAGATGTACAAGCAAGCAGATATGCTGAGAGGAAAAATGAATCAAATACCATTGTGTTCCACAGCACCATGGTAATTCATTGAGGACTTGTAGTTTCTCACTCACAGAGGACTGTGAATGGGTGACATGGCTGGGTGGGCCCCACACCTGCGTGTTAGTTTTTTTTTAAATCCGACATTTGTGTGTGTGTGTGGGGGGACACACTCCTTCACTAGCTGTCAAAGCAGGGGGCGGCCTGATCGTAACATGTTACATATTACACCCTTAATATGAGTGTGACATGTTACAAAAGGTGAACTTTCAAAAACTATTTTCTATCTTTTGTACTGTCCCTCCTCTTGCTGGTTTCCTTACTTATGCTTTGCCTTAAGCACCATACACACGAGCCAAATATAGGCTGGTGTTGGCCAACTCAATAGAAACCAGCTGATATTTTGACCCATGTGTAACCCACCTGTCCGACAGAAGCTGACTAAACAGCTGGCTTCTGCCAAATGAGCATGCAGGAAAACCAGCATCCAATCAGCATTCTTTCAGTGCTGACAGCCAATAGCTCAATGGGGAGATCGCTGTACTAACATTGGTAGTTAGTACAGCAAGTTCCTCCTGAGCTCTTCAGCATTTTTCATTCAGCCTGTTGGGTTGTGTGTACCCAGCATTAGGAATTGACATATTTGTTGTGGATTCAGCTCCTTTCAGGTAGATATGTTATGCATTCATGCTTGTCCTGAGGGGGGTTGCATCTTTGAGGTGCCTTTGTCTCCACATATCCATCTTTCTTTGTGTAAGTTGATCCTCTCAATATTTGATTTATTTGCTCTCTGCACAGTAACATTTATTGGCATTACCCTTATCTATGCTTTCTCAACTTAGAAGCAAGGGCGGACTGACCATTTGGAAACTCGGGCACTGCCCGAGGGCCCGGGGTCAGTAGGGGGCCCCATGAGATGCCCCTTGTACCTTTTTCATAGGCTTTTTTGAGTTTGGGCAAGGACACGGGCCCCATGATCCCCTATTGCCCGGGGGGCCCCATGAGTTGTCAGTCCGCCCCTGCTTAGAAGTAAGTACTGAGGAAGTGGACGTTTTCCATGAAACATGATGAGGATTGAGAAACTGCAAGAATACCCCCACCCATTTTTCATAATTTGTTTTGCTTATGTATTCATGGTTCAATTTATTTACATATTAATTTGTGTTTATACATTGGGGGTCTCTCTTGCTTCTACAGTGGAGCACATTAATATTATTTTATAAACTTACGGATCTTATAAGTTTACCCCATTATCCTGGGATTGAGAAATTGGGTAAATTTCCTCAAATTATTGTTCCCTTTCATAATTCACATACATTACATCCTACCAGCACTTGAAGAAGCCTCAACTTGGATCTAAAAAAGTGAGGTCTCTTCACGGGTGGACTCCGGAACCTTTTTTACACACTTTATTTCTGAGCGTGGATTGGTCTTCTGTAAATAAATCTAGGTGTACAGGAGCAAACATGTTACCTAATAGCTTTATCCTGCAAAAGAATCGCCCAGTGTTTTTTAAAAATTATTTTCCACTAATTTATGCTGTTTCTAGAAAAACTCAGTCCACAAAGGCCTATAACCAACAATTCCTCACCCTCTGGTTGGTGAGTATTCCTTAAACCAGAGTGTCCTTCCTGTTCCTTTTTCTTACCTGTTCTCTTGTATTTATTAACATCCAGCATTCTGTACCTCCGTATCTCCAAACCTCTCCGCCATTACTATATTTTAGACGATGAGCGAAGTTATTCAAAAATTCGATTCGACTGATTCGGCGGATTCGTGAAAAAATTTCGATTTCGCGTGTCGATAATAATCGCTGTGAATTTCACATTACAACAAGGGTGTTTCTAGGCTTCAGGAGAGACTTAATAATAGTGACCTGAACACATGTACCTTTAATTTAAATGCCCTAGGACGTCTGCTGCGGGCAGAGAACTAATCTACTGTCAAGGCAGTACTGACATGCAGATGAGTGCCGTCGATCTTTAGAATCACCGCACACTCTCACTCATTTTGCAGTCATCTGGGGCACAAAACCAGCGTGTGGAGCCACAGTGTGGCGGATGGAGCAGCAGGACTGGGGGCCATACCGCACCCTATGACAAAATGGAAACCCACCTGCAGTGTTGGAGTGAGCCTGAAAGTGGCACATGGCAGAGTGTGGCGGATCGAGGTCAGCTAGCAATGGGAAGGGGACAGGGACCAAGACACACTCTGGACCTGGCAGCAGCATGAGGAGGCGCGGTGGTACAGGGGCCCATGGTCAGATTACGGGCCTGCGCAAGCAGAAATGCGGAGTCCCGGTAACTGCCAGCACCCTATGCACAAAATGGACAACAAATCCCAGCAGTGTGAGGAGACCTGAAAGTGGCACATGGCAGAGTTTGGGCGATGGAGACAGCAGCACTGGTGAGGTCCGTTACAGGGACCCAAGACACAGACTCTGGAGCCTGGCAGCAGCATGAGGAGGCAGGTACGGGGGGCACCATTGACGAGATTATGGGCCTTGGCCGCAGCAATTGGGAGTCGGTTAGGTGGGCCATGACACACTCTGGACTGGCAGCAGCATGAGGGAATGGCGGGTTACCGGGCGCAGTGGCATGACAGCTTACGAAGCTGGGCAGCTAGCAACTTGGACAGGAGGGCCGTTCAGTTTTCTGACCCCGTCTGGTGAGTCGCTAGCAATGTTGTCTCTTGGATAACGGATTCCAGAAAGATGTGACGGAATCGTGAAGAGGGAAGTAGCAGGAGAAGGAGCATCATGAACGAGACGGGGATATGCCAACAAGCAGACAAAGGGGCCATGGCCGATTAGGGGCCTGGCAAGGCAGTATGGGAGGCCGTATCGGCCAGCACCCTATGACAAAAATGGCAACCCACAGCGTTGTGCGGAGACCTGAAAGTGGCACCATGGCAGAGTGTGGCGTGGAGACCGAGCAGCATGGTGAAAGGCCGTCAGGGACCCCTGAGAACTCTGGGATTGGCAGCAGCATGGGGGGGCGGGGGATAGGGGCCCCCGGCAATTAGGGGCCCCGGCGCAGCTATGGGAGGGGCCCTAACCCCACCCCATGACCAAAAAAGGGAAACCCACAGTGTGGGAGACTGAAAGTGGAATGTTTGGGGCTGTTCATGGCGGATTTTGTCATTGTTTTAGGAATGGGGGTTTGAAATCCAGACTAAAACCAGCCTGATTCATTTTTAAAACGTCATCTCTCCACACTTTGTGGGGTTTTGGGGGGGCCTCCGCGGGTTGCAAACCTCTGCGCACTAAACACGCCTCCCCATGCCCCGCATGGGCCGGGATCAGCCTTTTCAAGGGAAATTAGCTTTTTGGGGAAAGGTCAAGTTTCGTTGCCCCGTAGTAAGGGGATTTTTCTACCTCGGTTGGCGTGTTGTCCAAGTAGGCCAAGCCCGTTTTTTGAGGTCCTGCTCCAGGTCCCCTGATGCT